GAGAACCTTGAAAATAATAGTTTCACCAAGCACTGATGAGCATACAGCTACCAAGGAATCAGAACCTTTTGGGAGAGGGGAGAAGAAATTCACAGCAAATGTGCTTAGTGCATGAGGACCTGTTACCTGTTGTAGGATACCTTGGACACCACAGTGCTGCACAGGACTGAATACCAGGAAATTGCTGAGAGACCACTGGCCGTGATATTCCAGAAACGAGACAGACACATCCATGGGGAAATCTGGAAGTAGAAAATGTTTATTTACATTTAACATACCTATACCAGTATAGGTATATACCTACCCAGAATGACTAAGAGCTTGACCTGGTATGAGATTACCTGGATTCTAAACCAACTCCATGATTTCTAGTCTGTGTAATCCTGGACAAGTTTCTCCCTGTGTCCCAGTCCCCTCATCAGTAAAATGAAGGAAATAACATTATGTAGAATAAAGTATAGTTGTACATAAAAAATTAGCCTATGAAAAGTACTTTGCATACCCATGACCTAAGAAGCAATATTAAAATTACTATTTCAGTTCCATTACTATTACTGTAAAAAGATACTTGAAAAAGATACACTGAAAATGCTAATAGTGTGTCTTGAATTTTGTGGCTGTCGATATTTTTTAAAATATTTGTACTTTTGGGGATTTTTTTCAAGTTTTCTTCAGTGAACATGTTATTTTGAATTAAGAGGAAACTTTTCTAATTGTCAAATCATTTCCAAGTCAGAAACATTCTTCTGTGGAAGATAAAATACAAATGATGATTCCTAAGAGAAAGTTTTCTTAAAAATCCTTTTAACAATTAAACACATGAATGAAATTCAAATTAGACTCTATTTCCTGCTATGCTATTCTCTGTAAAATAATCGGTAAAAAACCGTTATGTTTTACTTATATTTTACCTTAGGGTACAACACGGGAATAGAATGTTTGGGGATATGTAAACTAGATTTGATATTTGTAATGACTTTGTTTTGAATTTCTCATGTTTAGCAACTAATAATTGCACTTGAAATAATTAGCCCATGATTCCTTTGTAATAGCTGAACACCACAAATTGTGTTCTGAAGGTCAATGGTTAAAGTAAATATCCTCAAGGGAATAAATGTACCTTTTTCATGGAAGATTAAATAATATCAACTGAATGTCAGTCTTTTAAGCAGAATTCTAAATCATGTCAAGCTGATTCAGCTTCTCGTGTGTCCATCTTACATTTTTTTTATTTAGTCCCTGTACCCTTTTCTGTGCTTCCATTAGGTGGAGACCCGGTCTTCTGTACTGGTAACTTTGGACCAATTCATGTCAATTTATACCCAAAGTTTTTCTCTAACATTTCTAATTTCTTTTTTTTTAAATGTTTTATTTTATTTATTTTTTTAAGATTATTTATTTATTTATTTGACAGAGAGAGAGAACACAAGTGGGGGGAGTGGCAGAGGGTGAGAAGCAGTCTCCCAAGGAGCAGGGAGCCCGATGCGGGGCTTGATCCCAGGACCCTGGGATCATGACCTGAGCCGAAGGCAGACACTTAACCATCCAAGCCACCCAGGAGCCCCTAACATTTCTAATTTCTTAATCTTTTTCTTTCTTCTTCTTGCTATTATGTTCCCCGTTCTACCTAGTGTAAGCCGCCACGGTACTATGATCTTTGTAGTAAAACACGCAGAAGATAATTGGGCAGAAACATGAAAACACTACTTACTGCCCCATTCGTAATCAGCTTAGCAAATAATGAATTTACTGCAAAGATAGACTTTTTTTTCAAAATATATTTGGAACTCTTGTTTAAGAAATGCCTCATAAGATTGTATTAAATTACTATAAATGTACTTACTGGTTTCTGGACACTGGTGCTATTTAAGATGGCTGTGATGTCTGCCCTGTCTATTCAAATGAAACTTGGAGCTTTATGTTACAAATCCAACTGGGGGCATAGTATTGTTTTTGAAAAAAAAAAAAATTGGACATTCTGGCAGACAATGGCTAGCTGTTCACCAAAATTAGATTTAATAAATAAGTATCATTTTAACTAACCCTGAATGAGGAATGGATGCAGAGACAGCCTGTTGTCTGTCATCCAGTATCCATTCTCCCTTTTTTTCTGTCATAAATTAAACCCTCACATTGAGTCTCATTGCTCCTCAGTCTGAAACCACATTTATAGCTTCCATTGCATCCACAGCCACCATGTGACTACACTTGTGCCAAAGAGATGTGAGCAGAGATGATGTACATGACCTCTGGTATATGTCCTTGAAATAAGCTTTGTGCTGTCTACAGTTTCTTTCCCTTGCCCCGGGACTGGAATTTAGAAGTGATGATAGACAGCCTCCTTCATCAACACACATGAGAACCACATCCTCGGGGCCGCTGGAGTTAAGAGAGGAGAAACCAGGATCCCTGGATAAGAGTGCAGAGAAGAACCACCTGCTCCTCTAGCTACTTCCAGCTTGGACTTTCACTTCAGAAAGAAAGAACTTTTCTTCACGTTTGAGTCACATTTATTTTGGTCTCTGTTGAAATAACCCGGCATTATTTTAAAATACTACTTGAGAACATAAGAAATAATATATTTGTTACTGTAATAAATTTGTGTAGCATTTTTAGAATACAAAATGTTCTTCACTTTTCTCCAAATTCACAAAATCCTGGGACCTCACTATTATTACCTAAGTTTCACAGGAAGAAATGAAGGCCTGGGAGTTTTGCTCTGTCAAAAGTTACCCCAATATGTGAGTTCAAATATAACACACCTTTGAAGATACGAAGTTTAGTTTTGAGAATAACCCGTAGTAGCTCACGATAGGTTCTGCTGTGTTAACTTTTCTCCTTTAAAGTCTTTATCACTGCTAACACCTACTTTACTGGGTCCTGGCTGGAATCCTGACTAACACTTCCTGACCTTCAGGAAGTTGCTTAATAACCAAAGACCTCAGTTTCCTCTTCTGCTTATATAAAGGATGATGGGGGAAGGGAGAGGCAAATGTGTTTTTAAATAGCAAGCTGCATTTTATTCATGAACATCAGCCTAGTGGCCCAACTTCAGAGTATCTAGTCCGGTTAATTTTATCTGCAAACCTTTAAAATAAGTATTATAATTCATACTTGAACACCATACCTCATAGCATGCAGACACTATAAAATTTGTCTAGCAAGTAGCCCTTGATATCCAGTGGGAAATCAGCTCAGGAAGCATGGAGAAGGGGGCAATATGAAGACTCCTCTGATTTAACCACCTGAACACATCGGTGCAAATGAAGCTGACCCCAGAGATAGGGAGCAGCTTGCCTTGCAGCAGAACCCCAAGAGGAAAGAAATGTTTACTACACCCTGTGAGTGCATAGTTGTTGAGGCAGGTGCTGCTTCTCCCTAAACTGAGAAATGGGTACTAAGAAACCCTTTTAAGTTAAAAACTCCTAGGTAGAGATGGAAAGTATGCTTAGGGACGTGGAGAGTGGATTACCCGGCTGAAAGGTGTGGTTGTTAGAGAGATTTGAGTAGATGCGGGAGGGCCAGAAGAGCAGTCACACCTTCCCAACTTTTTCACAGAAAGATCCTTCATATATTGAAATGATGGACGTTTCTATCAGATAAGCACATTAATATGGGTCACATAATTAACTTATAAGAAATCAATAGCAAATATGCTTTTATTTATCCAGATAAGGTCTATTCATGTTACTTTTCTAATCAATCCCCAAATAAAACTAAAAATTACTTTGTCGTTTAATGTTTATCCTTTGAAATTTAGTGAAACAACTACTAGTTTACTGGGGAAGGGAGTCAGGAAGAGTAAAACATTAATTAATATTATCTATGTTACTATTTTCACCAAGTTTTGCTTCCATGAAAACCCTAGAAAAATGCAAATCTGGTTGCAAAATGAACTGGCTTTGAATCCCAACTTGGCTGAAGCTACTTGAGGTCTTTAAACTCAGTTTCCCAATCTGAGTTGTGAATAATGGGCAAGGTTATTGTGAGATTAGAGCTGATAGGCGTCAACTACCTGGAATTCATTAGCAACGTATATAGATCGTGTACTGATTTGCTCTGCACCTGTGCTGAATTAATCAGGCTGCAATAATTGCTTGGATACAATACTACGAAAAATCTGATCTAACAGTAATGTGTTGTTGGTTAAGCTGAGCAAATATAGCTCATACGGAATCAATGCCAACATAATGCTTAACCGCCATCCCTTTAGTATACTCCTGTTGACCAAACTGAGGCAGCACATGACAGAGAGGATGCAGGTATGAAGCAAGATGACAATCTGGGCCAGTGGGCACATAGGCTGGAAGATAAGCCTTGGTTTTGCCTACTTTAATGGAGAACAAGTAACCTTTTCACTGCATCTCAAAAAACAGCTAGAAAATTCTTGGTTTTTTTTTAAGATTTTATTTATTTATTCGAGAGAGAGCTAGAGAGAGAGCACACAGACATGAGCGGGGCACGGGGGCGGACAGAGAGACAGAGAGAGAGTGAGAGAAACAGACTCCCCATCAAGCAGGGATCCCGACGTGGGACTCGATCCCAGGACCCTGGGATCATGACCTGAGCCAAAGGCAGATGCTTAACGGACTGAACCACCCAGGCACCCCGAAATTTCTTGTTGCTTCAAGAATAGTGATAATCTTTAGTTAATTATCTGCAAAATATTACTCACCAGATGCAAAAACAATCCTTTTCTTCCCCAATATAGTAGTGTACACTAAAAACAGCATTTCTGTAACTTCAGGGGTTTAGCATTTTCACTTAGCTGATTAAAATCCATTGTAGATGATAATTATGCCAGCTTTTTAAAAAAATCATTCAAACACTCAGAGATGATTTTAAAATCTTTAAATGGCTTGTACCAGATTTTTATTTCTCAAAGGGTTTCTACTTATGGAAAATTTGCTTAGATTATGCCCTTTTGTCATATCCTCAGTAAATGTTAAATCAATGCAAAATGGGTGGATTTGTATTTCTAAAAATAACCTCTTTCACAGGAAGAAGAATTAAGGAAGAGTGGGGAAGCCAAATATGCCCACTTGAGTGATGAACTTCATGTATTAATTGAAGTGTTTGCTCCACCTGGGGAAGCTTATTCACGAATGAGTCATGCATTGGAAGAGATTAAGAAATTCCTGGTTCCCGTAAGTGTCTTTCATTTTTCACAAAGATGTTTCTCATAACTTTTCTTTTTTAAGTGTGCTTTTGGTCTTCACTGACTTTTTAGACGGAGAGTCATATTGCAAACTAATCATTTGTGGAGTTGATAAGAAGGTAAAATAAAATAGAATACAACAAACGCTTAGCACGGGACCTGGCATGTTGCTGCATAACCAAGGTTTGACAGTGTGCTCCGTACATCACCAGGTCACAGTCATGAAGAATAAGACAATTAGCACATAAACACAAACATGTAATTGAAGTTGAGTGCTTTTCTCTTGTGTCTTAATCACTTGGTAGTTGACATGTTTTCTTGGCAATTTTTAATTAATGGAAAAAGCATTTGCAGGTACAATGGCAGGGGAAAGAGATTAGATATGTAATATATGCAACAAGACAATGATGTTACTTGAAAATATCAAATGTACTGTTACGTGACATTATGCCAGGTGCTGGCTCATTATAAAACATAATAAAAATAATCAATATTAATAGAGCCAGACATATGTTGACATCAAACAAAAATTGGAAAAATAAACTCATTGCGCTCTATGAGAGCAACAGAGTGTTCATTAATTAAGACGGCAAACTCAGGGTTGCATATTGGATAGAATTCTCTACTAATTTTCTAAGAAATAGCGGAAGGTTAAATGAATGAAGCTTTTATAAAGGTTGACAATTTAGCATTCTAGAAGAGGTCATTCAAATGGAAATCTTGGCATTGGGGCTTAAGCAGGGAATAAGGTAATTGGAAGAGAATGCTGAGTAAAGTTTTCTGGAGTGCCTGGGCAGAAGTCTTTGGCAGAGGAGAAAGAGAGTAGCTAAGATTAATCTGTTCAATGAAGAAACACTGTAGATTTCTAAAGTAAGCAATAGACTCAGAGGAAATGGTGGGTAAGATTCATTGACTGGCAGTGATTTTGAGAATGGGAAAAGAAAAAAAAACAGAATTTTGAAATGTAAAAGCATCAAAATCTAACCACATAATGTATTTATATGCCCAGTTTAAAAATTTCTCTCTTGTCTCTCAAGACAAGGTTATAGAATAATCCCATACCACTCTGGCTATTCCTTAACTTTATATGCACGCAGAATTTCTGCACAATTTATTACCTGGTGCTTATCAGAACACCTTCCTAAACAGATCCAATATTTCATAAGCACGAGGATGTTAGGTTCTCTCTTCCTTTTGCGTCCAAACTAAATGCCTAGTGCTGTTGGGTAAGCAGTTTTACTATACTTAGCTCAGATCAGACCTCTAGTGATATAAGTGGTATAGAAAAAGGCTAGGACCACCTACATTGCTAACTCATTTCATGCCTGTAGACAAATAATTTAAATTCTCAGAGCTTCAGCTTCTTCATCTTTAAAAAGAAAATAATTATAACTGACTGACCTCTATCACAGTTATTGTGAATATTAAATAGGGTAATGTGTATGAAAGGACATAGAAAATTATCAAGCACCATTTAAATGGATGCTTTTAATCTATTTTGTTGTTATAGTAGATAGAATCTTGGAATGACTTTCTGAGGTTAAATATGTAAGATGAAACACTATTTCATTGCTACATATATATTGGATCTAAGTTGTGGGCTCGGTTAACCCTTTTTATTATAAATGCTGGTAAAACATCTCACCTACTTCTAGACCTTGTGATACGTGTAATAATTTCATTTATAACTTCACTGAAATATAGACTCCATGAGGGCAGGGCTAGCAGTGTCTCTCTTGTATTCCCATAATTTAGCATCGTGCATGGCACAATAATTATTTGTTTGAGGGTCTGATGGATAGGATGGCTGATTAATAGGCACCAGGAGTGATGCAGAGAGATAAAATGGCTATTTGGGTCAAGTTGGAGGAATAGTACCCCACAATTAAGATGCTTTATATATACACATCCAGATGAGGAACGAAAATCTTACATTGGCCAATATGACCTGCTCCTGCCCATCTCTGGGATTTTCTCTCTGCCTGACCGACTGCTCACTCTGTGTGCTCCAGACATGCTGGCTTCTGTTCATCCCGCACTCCAGGCTTTCCAGGCTCACGCCTCACTAAGGGCCTTTGAAGATTCTTCTCCAAAATACTGACACAATTGTCATTCAGGTCTCAGTTCACTCTAGCAATGCAGGAAATTCTTCCCTGACCACAGGGTCTGAAGTAACCTCCCTGCATTTGTACAATCCTATTATATTTTGTTCAAAATATCACTGGCCCCTTAATTAACACTGCAATTTATTGTCTTACCATGCTTTAGCCCTCTGCGCTTACTTAATTTTCCTCATAGCTTTTATAACCTGTTCTATATATACACACATACGTATATATATATTACTTATTTGTTTATTGTTGGTTTTCCTGCTAAAATATAAATGTCATGAGGGTGGGATTATTGTCTAGTTTTACTGCTTTATTCCCCTGTTTTGAACTCTGCCAGACACATGGGAACACTTAATATTTTTTGTATGGGTGAATAAATGATTGAATGAATAAGCTTTTGTTTTTAGGGTTTTTTTTAAGATTTTTTTAAAGATTTATTTATTTTGGTGAGAGAGAGAGCATGCCAGTGCGGGGAGGGGCAGGCGGAAAGGGGGAAAGAGAGAAGCAGACTCTCCGCTGAGCATGGAGCCCAAGGCAGGGCTCAGTCTCACAACCCTGAGATCACGACCTGAGCCAGAATCAAGAGTTAGACACTTGACCGACTGAACCACCCAGATGCCCCTAAATAAGCTTTTTAAAAAATAAATAGGGGAGCCTGGGTGGTGCAGTCAGTTAAGCCTCTGACTCTTGGTTTTATCTCAGGTTGTGACCTCAGGGTTGTGAGATCAAGCCCTACATTGGGCTCCGTGTGGTGTCTGCTTAAGATTCTCTCTCCTTCTCCCCTGCCCCAGCCACCCGCACCAGCCCCCCACCTCATGCTCGCACTCTCTCTCAATAAATAAGTAAATAGATTTTATTTAGTTAAATAAATAACTATTCTGATAGCTCTCAATGTTGTATTAGTAAATTTTACAATCGGTGGAAGTCCTACTTGATAAATTTTTCCCATATGCCTTGTTTGCCTCAGCACCAAGAAAAGGATGGCAATTGTCTACTTCATCTTTCACTAGAACCACAGGGGGGCAAATATGAACTGCCAGTTCTTTTTTTATTATAAAAAAATTACTTGCTGATCCAGGTTTCTTTTGACATTCAGTATTAAAGTCTACAGAAATGCTAACGTATCAGGACATTAAAATTGACAAATAAAATAGGTGTAGAATTATAGCCAGTAAGAGACATGTTAGAACCACATAGAAAGCTAACGTAGAATAGGACTACCATCTAATTCCTCTACGAAATGGAGTGTCTTTCCATAGTTTTTACCTTCCTTGCCCTTCTTTTATGTTATCCAGTATTTATCCAATGTGCCCTATGTCCAGAGGTTGTAGTTGTTCAAGACTGCTGACTTCGGAACATACAACTTGTCATGAAATGTCTGAATGCGGTAAGCTGTTGGAAAACAACACAGTTTTAGTACTTTAAATGAATTGTTAAGGGAAAAACAATTATTATTACCTTGGGAAAAAATTTCTAACTTGCTGGTCTCCCTCCAGTTACTACAGTCTTATCAAAACAAGTAGAGGGGCACATCAATAAAACATCAATAAATTGAATTCCCCTGATTTTAAATTTCTAATACTTTGAGCAGATACTCTATTAAAGTTTTCACTTATTGCTAATTTGGCTTACAAATACAGATTAAGCATATTAAATCATTTGACAAATAGTGACAAAAAGGATATAAAATCCTAATCTATGTTTCAATAATGCTAATGCCTTTCTCTTTCCTTTATCATCTATAAAGCGGTAAACAAATGTCATTATTATCATTATATTTTATCATACTCCTTTCTCTTATAGCTCAAGCACTAGGACTGTCACATATAGTTGTGCAGATTACCCCTTACACAAGGCTAGGGAATAACATTTACATTGTAGTTTGTGAATGAGACCTCCCTGGGATTCCTGATTACAACTTCCCCTTTTCCAACTTTAAAATAATGACACTGTATTTCATTTTCCTACTGGTTAACTCTCACCTTCAATTAAGTTGAGTTAGTAAGTTTTACTAATGCTTAATAATCAGCTCATGATTGAACATAATACATTGTCTCATAATTAGAATTTATGAGGGTTTAGCAAAATTCTGCTCATTGAATGTGAGTTTATTCATTCTTTCATAGAAAAGATGAAAGGATGGGTCTCCACGCAACTAGGAAATTAGGTCTAGGTCACAGATAACAAACCAATAGATGACTGTTACTGGCTCAACAGTTAGTTGTTGACAGAATTAAGAGATCACAATACTCATTTCTACCAAGCCCTGGCATGGCCCCAGAATCTTTCTCAGCACAGTATGCTACACAGCACTAGAATATTATCAGAGTTGACAGAATTTGAAAAGTATTTGTCATACCTGGGATAAGTCTCTAATGATCATTGCTAGAGGTTTTATCACTTAAAGAGAAGGTATTATATAGATATATGTATATGTGTAATATTCAACATAGAATACAATATATTGTACATTAGCAAGAGAATACAATATATTAACACAATTCAACACAGAAAAAAAATGCATCATTCCAGGTTATTTCTTTCCTACATCAGATTGGATGACAGTGGTGATTCTTGAAATGGGGCAATTAGGGCATATTATATCATTTCAGGTTTGAGATTAGAAACCTGCGTAGGAAACCTCTCAGGAGTGTGACTATGGAAGAAAAGTAAATGCTTTTCCTCTTTAGAGTAAAAGCAAAGAGAGGACATTCTTGCCTTCTCTTCCTCAAAGACTGTAATCCTAGCTCTGAAATGGGAAAATGACACTGATCATTATTAGCAATCGTACAGGGAAGTAGATATAAGGAAAATAGAAAAGAAAAGCAGAGTATTTTCAGTCTAGGACATAGAAGATCTAGACTTTCAGGCACTGATA